GGCTGAGAGAGAGTGACTGGCCCAAGGTCACCCAGCTGGCTTTGTGCCTAAGGTGGAACTAAAACTCATGGTCTCCTGGTTTCTTGGCCTGGTGCCTTAACCACTACACCAAACTGGATCTCAAATACTACTATGACTATTACATATTAAAATGTATCTGATGAAAGCTTATATTTCTAATAATTAGATTATTTAATAATCCATTTGCCGAGAAGTAGCTATGCTTTCCTAGTTGCTATAAAATGCTGTCTTAGATCCCATATTGTTAACTGTAATATGTGATATCTTATATCAGAATTAGTTGCTTATGTGTGATATTAATAATTAACATTCTAAACAATTAGACTTTGTTTTCATGGTTTTCAAGTAATGTCCTTTTCTTTCGTCTATTGTTCTCCAGCGTGTGCTACTGCCACAGGAGGAGCTGAAGATGAAGGTGAGGCAGAAGCTGGTTGGATCGAAGGGGCTGCCATTCTGCTCTCTGTTATATGTGTGGTGCTGGTTACAGCCTTTAATGACTGGAGCAAAGAGAAACAGTTCCGTGGACTTCAGAGTCGTATTGAACAAGAACAAAAGTTTACTGTCGTTCGAGGTGGACAAGTAATTCAAATCCCAGTAGCAGAGATTGTAGTTGGTGACATTGCACAAGTTAAATATGGTATGTTTTTTGTATACCTTCTGGAAAAATTGTGTCTGAATCCCTAGGATTTCTTTATAACCTATTAAATAGCAGCAAGGGAATAGCTGTTAATAAACTGAACCATTAAGGCTGAATCCTTATAATGCACAGGAAAAATACCATAATGTAACATACAATCAGTTATCTGAAAAATGATTCAGTGTTATTAACAATTTAAATTCATCTGTGAGGGACAATATTTTATATTTTTGAAATAAACTCCCTAATATTATATTTAGTAATCAAGGAACTGGCTCAAGTTGCTAGATAACTAAATCACTGGTAGGTACTAAGTAATTGAATATCAAAAATGTTATTGGAAAATCAGCTAGTGGAAATCAATTAAAGGATAATTTGAAGAAGGATAGGTAGAGATGTGAAGGAAGAACCTTAATGAAGAGAAATATTGCTTCACATCTTGAATTTCTGTTTTCTGTAGTTGCAGAGTAGCAGCCATCCTTAATAAAGACATTCAGTATATTTCTGATGAGAATAATGAACACCCCAATGGCAAGAGCACAATTTCTATCTGTTTGAATGAAAAGAATGGCATGTTTAGTCCTTTCTATACACTTGGATTGGCTTCCTGAAACATGAATGCAACCAATATTATTTTCATCCATGACATGAATCAAAGTTGGTCCTGTGGTCCAGCACATGGCTAAAACCAGTGGAACTGTACTGTGTCTGGAGAATACATTGGGACCTGATATTTTAATTCCCAGCAATGACCATGCTGATTAAGGAAATTTGAGATGAAGTTTCAGAGATGAAATTTAACAGCGAAGTTGGGAAAGGCAATCTAGAACATATGGAGCTATTATAGTGGGCTTTCTTTAATTTGAAAATATCAGCTATAGTTTACAAAGGTTATATCTCTCTATCTCTATCTCTATCTCTATCTACAGATATACTATTAACTTTAGTATAATCACTGACCAGATTTCAACAAGTTAACAGCAGACGAAACAAAATAAGGCAACATAGTTTATGGAAAGTTTATTGATGCAGTCTGGTTTTTCAAAGAGTATAGCAAAATTTGGCCACATCCATAGAAATTGAATAATACTGTTCTGTATATAGAATGAATCAGAATTGCCTGGGTACTTTGTTAAATAAGGAGTTATACAATGGATCATTGGATCCTTATAAAAATGTAATATAATAGGGCATGGACTGTGGATTCAATAGACCTTTTCCACAAGGTTCATAAGAGATTTTTAATATATGCCCTTGAGAACTGGCATATGGAGGACATTCAAGAGTGCTTAGGTTAGTACTCTCCGGAGTTTAGAGACAGCTATATAGTATAGATATGTAACGGGTGTAAAGGAAAGGGCCTAGATAGGGTAGATTGATTCAGTTGCTTTTCCACATCTTAGGCATGTGTTCGATCATTAAAAATTTGTCTCTAAAGAAATTGCAGTTTTTTGCAGAATTATTCTGTTCCATACTGATTCAAAATATTTCTCATTAAGAAGACAAGTTAGACATTCTGAAAAGAACTGTATGAAATAATGCGAATCTATTGAAATCCCATTTCAACTTTGGTTAAATCTGTCTCCTCTCTTAATACTACATTATGACAATGGGGCCACTTGGGATATAATCCTTAAAAATGTGGATTAAACTCTTTCTAGTAGAGCAAAAGTGCTGTAAGGACCCAGCTGAGCACCAGACAATAATTGTAGTTGTCCTTTGGCTTAATAAAGCTTTAGTGCTGCTGGGTTATGCTGTGAAATGACTGCTTTTCATGCGTTTTGGATAACATAATTTTTGTGTGCACTGCATTTAGTAAGACTATGGAAGACCATGCCCAAGCTATTGAAAAATTTTACCTGCTCCATAATCTGGCCTTTTAACCTCCTTATATGCACTCCACATTGCTTTGCAAAAATTGGGATCTTTATTTTTGAATAGTTGATCTCTAGTGCTTCCACAGAACAGTAATTGGCTAGGGTACTCAGGGTTTGCTTAAGTCCAATTGATGTTTGTGATAGAAGGACTACATTGTCTGTATACAGTAGGGTTGGAATATATCTATTGGCTAATTTCAGGTGGTAATACTCTAATTTAGTTATTTTGGTCAGAAGAGGGTTAATATACAATTAAACAAGGGGGCCAAAAGCACTCCTGTTTCACTCCTGTTTGGGTTAGGATCTCTTTAGTGTAATGGCTTGAATACTGCAACAAACTTTTATTCTAGAATTCTCATAAAGGTAATGCATTAACAACAGTAGCTATCTATCTACAGAAGTATTTATAAGTTTACCCCACAAGCTTCTTCTGGAGATATAATCAAATGCAGACCTAAAGTCAATGAATGCAGTATATAATGCAAAGCCTGTGGATTATATGGATGTTTTCAGCCAGATGGTGCCATATGAGGGCATGGTCAAAGGTAGAGTGTCCAGTTCTAAAATCTGCTTATCATCTGCCAAAATATGCTGTTGATTGATACAGTCAGCCAATGTACTGTATGTGTGGATGTTTAGCATAGAGATTACTTATGCTTAAAAGATTGATGGGCTGATAGTTAGCAAGCAGTTCTCAACAAGCGAGAAAAAGAGAGTGAGCAATAATAGACTCACCAGGTGGTAGTACTTTGATAAACTTACTAAAGGTTGATCTACAAAAGGAGTATATTTTTATTTGGATTGCAGTGATTTGAAGATTCATACTTCAGTTATGAAAATCTGTTGGAAGTTTCATACATTACTAAATAAACGAATAAAATAAAAAGGCTTTCCAAATTAGTTTATCTCTTAATGATTTTACTGATAGGCGACCTACTACCTGCCGATGGAGTGTTTATTCAAGGAAACGATCTTAAGATTGATGAAAGCTCTTTAACTGGAGAGTCAGATCAAGTCCGCAAATCTGTTGACAAAGACCCAATGCTGCTTTCAGGTATGTTTTGTGCAGTGAATAAACCTTTGGTAATCACAGATATGGAATACTCTGTTCTCCATTTCTCTTCCGTTCATTTTCAAAATTCATTATCCATGTATTCTTCATTCAGAAAAACATATGGAGAATGAATAGTTCTGTATTAATTACTGAACTGGATTGAAAACTTTTCAAATGCTGTGTTGAGCACCTTGCATTATCCCCATCCTGGATGATATCACTCCAGCAATGGATTTGTGAAGGGTGTCATGTTTTCGTTGTGCATTAGTGAAGCATGGAAGCCTTCAAAGGTAGATTTGAAGACCCCACCAAGCAACATAGAGACAGGGCAGGAGTTATGCAAGCACTCACATGTTGAATGATATACTTTACTTTTTTACTTACTTACTTGGCATATAGGTTGTTCAGATCTTGAGATTTTGAGCAGTTATCAATTCCTGATTGCAGTAATAAAATTAAAATACAGCGATAGAATTAAAACAACAATAAATGGCTCGCATAAATGGATAGACAGAGCTGCGGCAAGGTAAAACAATCTCTGCTTTCCCTGCACTCTGTGAAGGAAGCAGAAAATAAGATGCCTCTTTTGCAGATTTTAGAATTTCTCAGCCACAGGATTCAACCCAATATTATTTGTTGCTGAAGCTAGACAGTATTATTTATATATGTGTTAAACTTTGCACTGAGCAATAGTTTTTCTTTGATTCCCAAATATACTATGGCTTCCCTGTTCATTTTTAAATCTTTCTCAAATGCTATGCTTTATTTTGGTATACCTTTTCCTATGCGTTTTTGAGATAGGATAGGAAACTGATGTTTTCTTGTCAGTCAGATGTATGACAATAGCTTTGGTTTATACAGTATTACAGATTGATCATTAGGTTGATTCCCACTGCAGTCTAAGGAGACCAAATTACCAGCATGGGTGATTCCACTGAGAGAGCTCAGAATGTAGTGGCTTTCCCTGAAGGGAGATTCATCAGCAGGACAGCGTTTAGCCCAAAACCATTTTACAGAATGAACAACTGATATTGGAACATGGGGAAGCAGTATGGTGAGAGCCTGTTGGGATCAGGAATGGAGAGCCTGCATCGTAAATGTCTTTGTTTCTAAGGAATCTGTTTATTTAATTCTACTGATCCCTACTCAGTGGGGAAAAAAAAAGTTCCTGTCCCTTATCTCCTGCCCTGCATATAGAGAAATGCCAGGTCACAAGAAATGGCACTAACTACACCAAGGGATTTCACTCCCACCTGCTCTGCCTAGCTATATTTATATACACATTTACCTGGGAGTAAATCTGTTCAATTCAGCATGGTTTTATTTTGAGGAAACATGTCTGGAATTGCAAAGTAACAAAATGAATAGGGGTGAAACCTAGCAAATCCTAAAGTGCCCTCCCAAATTGTCTTTCAGGAAAAAAAACCCAATGAAACCTCCCCCCCCCCCACAACTACATACAAGGTTTAGCCCATCAAATAATCATCTTATTACACTATCGCCACCTATTAATTCAGGCCTAAATGAGGTGATGCTACAGATAATCAGAAGAAACGCTGAGAAAATATTAGGATTATTTATTGTGTTTGGTCATGTTTTGGTTACAGATGAGTTTTCATTCTTGAGTGGTCTGCTCCAACTCTATTTTTTTCCATAAGCCCTGTATAATTTTGTATAACATGCGAGTTTCTAACAACATAGCCATCATGCTATATAAGAATTGACTGTACCGTGCAAGAAGAACAAATAATTCAATAATAGATGAAATAAAATCAGACTGCTCACTGGAAGCACTAATAGCAAAGCTAAAGCTTAAATATTTGGGATACGTAATGTGAACGCAAGAGTAAGAGGAGAAGCCCTGATGTGTGGAAGAATGGAAGAGGCTGACAAAAAAACAAGATGGCTACGTACAATCATTGTTAACACAAGCAAGAGCTTAGAAGAACTCAAGGAAGTGGTAACTAACTGTCAGGGAGGCGGCTCACAAAGAGCCAGAAGCAATGGAATGATTGAATAACAGCAACAACAGAATGTAAGTTACTACCAGCTGGTCAACGATATCTTTTTAGGTGAAACTCTCAAGAACCTAACATTGAATTCTGTTCACAAAGGGAGGGGGGGGAAATCTGATGAGCTGTTGAAAATCCGTTGGTAATCAAAAATCTCCCACAAAAGGTAGCAGGACTTTTTCATAGATTATTGATCAGACATCATAAATTGGATATATAATGTTTTTGTTCTAGCTACATTTTTGGTAATATTGAAGGCATAAACATTCAGATTTGGCTTCCTATTTTCTGATTCATACTGTTATCTGTTTCTTGGCAGAAAATAGGGTAGATAAAATTCTTTGTTTAGCTGCTGCATAATATTAGCTACTTCTGAGTCATGCATGGAGATGAAAAGCAAGCTTTTATTTAATCTTTGCTAAGAATAGTTACACAACAATACAAATGGTCAATCAGGTCAGTTGTTAGTAGAAAATCATGTGTGTGTGTGTGTGTGTTGGCACTAGATTTTGCCTTAAAAGAACATTTCAGCTGACTTATTATTAGCATACTTAAACCCACTTTTTGAAAACCAAAACTATCCACATTATTTCAATTTATTTTTCATATAATTTTAGTCAAGTTACATATACTATAACAAAATACATGCCCAAACATCAAAAATATATACTAAAATATGTATGTGTATGTATAGAGAGTACAGGGGGTGGGGTGGGGGAGAACAATATATATATATCACAAATTTATTTATTTATTCATTTATTTATTTATTCATTCCAGTGTTGAGGCTACCTGATTCCTTGGCAACTCTGGGCAGGTTACAAATAAAAGAAATGAAGCCATACATATAAAAGAGAACACAGACAACCAGTAGAAGAAAACTAAGCTAAACTCAAAGGGGCTCCACAACCAGCCTGTCCCAAGGCTTGGGAGAACAAACACATTTTTAGTAATTTGGGGAATGTCATTAAGGTGTGAGCCTCTCAAATATTGGGGAGGGGGGTATCTTTTCAGAGGGCAGGCACTGCAGCTGAAAAGGCCCATTTCCTGGGTCCTGTAAGATGACACTATTTGATGGATGGGACCCAGAGTGCAGCACCCTGCTTCATTCATCAGATGGGCAGAAATAATTACAATGACAATATCCTTCTTACATTTAAAATTATTACAATAAAACATATATCCTGTTAAAAATACCCTTTCAATTGTTAATTTACCTATTTCATAAAGTAATAAGACCCAAAAATGAAATAATTACAGTATGTTTATACTATTTGTATAAGTCCTTTAAGTATTATATCACTGATATCCTTATAGCAGCCAGTTTCTTTGTATTTTTTATATAAGGAGATGGAGATTGACTGAGAATGATTTGTCCAAAATCATCCAGTTTTTCTCATAACCTTGTCTTTATTATTATGTTACACTGTGCTTCTTTTTTTTTTTAAAAAAAACATTATTTCATCTACTATTTCTCAACATCTGTTAAATGGGATATTTTCCCCACTCCTTCCCCCTTTTCACACTCTTGCTAATTATTCTTTTGTCATTTGCCTTGTTTAAATTAATTCCTTGCAGCATGTCAGAATTCCAGTGCATTTATTTTTATTTATTTAAGCAATTTATATAGCTGCTCAACTCACAGTGACTCCGGGTGGCTTCCAGAAATAAAAACCCCAAATACAAAACTCACTACACCCCACCACACTTCATTAAGTATATTTGGGGGTATAATGAATAGGCAACAAGTATCACTGAAAGGGGAATTCAAAACCTCTGCTGCCATAATAAGATGCTTTTAGATCATATTGGTTTAATTATATGCTTAACCTTCCCTTTGTAAATTAATGGAACTACAGGTGGTCCTCATTTAATGACCACTCATTCAGTGACCATTTGAACTTGCAATGGTGCTGAATAATTGGTACTTACGACCAGTCCTTGCGATTACAACATCACAGCATCCCACAGTCACATAATTGCCATTTGTGACCTCCTCTGCTGGCTTCCAACAAGTAAAGCCAGTGTCGAAGCTGGCAGCAAGTTGCAAGCTATGGTCACATGAGGTCCTCACTTAAAATGGCAACTGGAACTGCCATCATTAAGCGGCGCAGTCGCGTAGTTTTTCGACTTACGACTGTGCTGCTTAATGACAGAGTTTCCGGTCCCAATTAGCAACGTTAAGCGAGGACTACCTGTATTAGCTTTCTCTAAACTAACACCATAGATATTGTCACATGGGGTTGTCTTCAGTTTGTGTCACTTTTCTGCAGGAAGACTCTTTGTTTCTGAGGATTTGCATGGTATAAAAGGAAGAAAAAAGTTTTCATCATTTCCTCCTTTCCCTTGCAAGTCATCCCATGCTATGGGACATTGTTCCAGAGAGTCCCTCGAATGTTGAGAACAAATATGAGGAAAGTTAGGCCTTAGAGGGAGGGGATCATATAACATTCTATCAGCAAATTAATATATTTTTAATTGTCATTTCTTATTTCAGTGAATCAAGCAAACTGTTGTTTGGCTCTTTATTTCAACCAAAGCTGTATATGTATAAAGAGAATCCAAATTTTGTAATAGATTCCTTAATATTATTATCCAAATACTGCTTGCTTTTACTTATCAAAAAATTACTTTTTTGCTTTAAGGTAAAAGTCATAAATTAACAGCTGCTATTTTATATTTAATATATATGCTCGCAGTTGAAATTAATTGTACCATTAATTCTATAAGAGTAGCTTGTAAAAAGTACAATTTTCTCCTTAGTGATAAATACAGTTACTATGCTGTTCCCTACTTGGAATTATGCCCTGGGCACGTGTATTTGGAATACATCCATTCATTTGAGGCAAACACATTTCCAATTCAGATGACTTATATTCTAAGGATATTATCCCAAAACATTTCATTCAGTGGTAACTTTGCCAATAATTTCCGCATATATATTACATGCATCCAAATAGAATAGAATAGAATAGAATAATAGAATAC